AAAAATTAGCCAGGCATAGTGGCGGGCGCCTGTAATCCCAGTTCCTCAGGAGACTGAGGCAGGAGAATCGCTTGAACCCGGGAGGCAGAGTTTGCAGTGAGCCAAAATCATGCCATTGCATTCCAGCCCGGGCAACAGAAGTGAAACTCCATCTCAAAAAACAAACAGAAAAACGCATCTCCATTTGTAAAGGTTTCTCTGTCCCTATACCAGGAAGAGAAGTGTGGCTCTAATTCACCAGAAACTCTAATCATTAGAGAAGACATCAACATAAATCTGCACTACAAACCTTAGCTTTGCTTACCAAGCTTTTTCAGGACACCACCCCATAACTGTCCGCCCCAAAACCTTTCTTGCTTTGTTTCACCTGGAGATGGTATTTAAGTCCGAATTCTAAGTCACCCTTCTAGATTTTACTCATTTCTCTGGGTATCTCCTATGAATACTTGAAATATACATGTTGTTAAACTTCCGTTTGTTTTTCTCTTGTTAATCTGCCATTTTGTTACAGGAGGTCTCAGCCGGGAACACAGAAAGGATACAGAGAAAATTATTGTTCTGCCCCTACAGTTTTAGTGACCCAGATGGGATCTCTGGTACACCCTACCTGCTCTACAATTGGGATCCCTGGAAAAGTGACAGAATCTGGCAACGGGTAAGAATGTAGTGTCGGCCGGGTGTGGTGGCTCACACCTGTAATCCCAGTATTTTGGGAGGCCAAGGCAGGTGGACCACTTTAGCCCAGGAGTTTGGGACCAGCCTGGGCAAGATGGCAAGACCCAGTCGCTACTAAAAATACAAAAAAATTAGCCGGGCGTAGTGGCTCCTGCCTGTAATCTCAGCACTTTGGGAGGCCAAGGCTGGTGGATCACTTGAGTCTAGGAGTTTGAGATCAGCCTGGTCAACATGGCAAGTCCCCGTCTCTACTAAAAATACAAAAAATTAACCGGGCATGGTGGTGTGCACTTGTAGTCCCAACTACTCGGGAAGCTGAGGCAGGAGGATCACTTGAGCCCAGGAAATTGAGGCTGCAGTGAGCCGTGATTACACCACTGCACTCCAACCTCAGCAATGAGCATGAGACCCTGTCTCAAAAAAATAAAAAGTGGGCCGGGCGCGATGGCTCATGCCTGTAATTCCAGCACTTTGGGAGGCCAAGGTAGGCAGATCACAAGGTCAGGAGATCGAGACCATCCTGGCTAACAAGGTGAAACCCCATCTCTACTAAAAATTCAAAAAAATCAGCCGTGTGTGGTGGTGGGCACCTGTAGTCCCAGTTACTCAGGAGGCTGAAGCAGGAGAATGGCATGAAGCCAGGAGGCAGAGCTTGCAGTGAGCCAAGATTGCACCACTGTACTCCAGCCTGGGCAACAGAGCAAGACTGTCTCAAAAAAAAAAAAATTAAAAATTAAATAAATAAATACATAAATAGATAAGCAAAATAATATGGTAGGTAGCACTTCTGGATCTGTGTGGTACCAGTCAAGGGAGGAAGGTACAAGTTTCTCTTTTGTGCCTTCTATCTCAAATTCACATTAGCAGGAGAAATCATTTGTGAGAATTAATTTTTTTGGACAGTGACTCTGGTGAAATGTGGTTTGGGGTAACCATTGGTTATTGATCCTTTCACTCCCAGGGACAGTTACTGCTTTCCTGTTTGTGTCCTAAAAACGTAGCGTGGCTATCCAACTGCTGGGGCGCCCAGATTATCCAGGCTGCCTGTCCTGGCTACCAACTGCCAGGCTAGGGACACCCCAGAATATGGCCAGCCAACCACCAGGTCAGGGACACCCAGGAATATAACCAGACAGAAAGAGAAGCGTGGGCTGCATCCCATCTGTGACCAGTGTCTGTCAACCTAAAATCATTGAATGGTCAGAATCTAGTTCAAAGACAGGTCATCAGCACAAAGTTGAGGACTGCAGCGCAGGACACACTTCCAAGTTGCCTTGGGGACTGCTCCAGACAACAAAAGAGAGGCTCAAGTTTTTAAAGGAAAAAAATAACAAATCAGGAGAGGGAGATTTACAAAAGTTGTTTGTCAGGAATTCTCATTGGTTTACAGAAATAACTTTGGTTATTTTTATAAATAACATTGGTGATTGGCTGTGCATTGTTGAACTACAGGGTGTATGGCATTTTATGGCTACTTGGTGACAGTTAGTCTAGAGCCCCCATAGCAAGTGGCTGCTAGAGGTAATTATTTCACTCAAGGGGGAGAGGGACGTGACTGGTATTACATTTTAAATGCCTTTCTGGGTCTCATAATTTAAAGGGGCTCGCATTCCTCAAATGAAATATATTTCTTGGAAGGGGAGGTGAATAGGGTCTCACTGTCACCCAGGCTGGAGTGCTGTGGCGTGATCATGGCTCACTGCAGCCTCGACCTCCCCAGGTTTAAGCAATCCTCCCATCTCAGCCTCCTGAGTAACTGGGACCACAGGTGTACATCAGCACATGGAGCTAATATTTGTATTTTTTTGCAGAGGCGGGATCTCACCATGTTGCCCAGGCTGGTCTCAAACCCTTGAGCTCAAATGATCCACCTGCCCCGGTCCCCTAAAGTGCTGGGATTACAGTGTAGGCCATAACATCTAGCCAGATGAAATGATTTTTCTTTTTCTCATATCCTACCAACCATTGCCAGCTCTTGGGATGTTATCTAAAACTTTCTTCCCTTGACTGTCTATGGGAATGGCTCCCTAGTCTATGGAAAGGGCTGTATCTTTGCATCCTGTTTGGAGAGGCCTCTCATTTCTGTGGTTAAGCCATAAAAGGCTCATTGGTTTTAAGTCCTAAGAGGCTTATGACTTTGGTCTTCAGTCATTTGCTAAGTACACATTTTCTGTAAAAGAAAAAGGAGAAAAACTATTCAAATAGGAGTTCAATATTGCCAGGAATACTTAGTGTTTGTCCCAGGAGAATTTGATAATAGGTTTTGTTGGGTTTTTTTGTTTTTTTTTTGTTTTGAGACGGAGTCTCGCTCTGTCACCCAGGCTGGAGTGCAGTGGTGCCTCTCGGCTCACTGCAACCTCCGTCTCCCAGGTTCAAGTGATACCCCTGCCTCAGCCTCCCGAGTAGCTGGGATTACAGACATGTGCTATCACGCCCGGCTAATTTTTGTATTTTAAGTAGGATTTAAAATGGGGTTTCACCATATTGGCCAGGCCGGTCTCAAACTCCTGACCTCCTGATCCTCCCAACTCGGCCTCCCAAAGTGCTGGGATTATAGGCATGAGCCACTGCGCCCAGTCTTGAAAGCCTTTTTTTTTAAAGGAGCTCTATGGTCAGAAGTTGGCCTGACTAGAAGCCAATATTCAGACCCTAGTAGGAGTTACTGTTTTAAGTCGTCTCTGTTCTGTCGAGCTAATCCTGCAGCTCCCATGGGAATGTCTCCATCGCCTGAAACTCCCTTCCTGAAGCCCCGCTGTCTATGTGCTCAACCAACTCTGTCACCTACCTATGGCTGGTGCAGTTTTGCTGAGCCAATAAATACGGGACTTTATTGGCTTCTTTGGAGAACTTGAGATCTCCCGACCCTGGCTCCCCGACAACCTCTTCCTTCCTGTTGCTCCTGTTTCTCTTCCCTTCTCTCATCTTCTCTCCAGTTCTCTCTCTTTTTTTTTTTTTTTTTTTTT